CTTCTTCTCGAGACAGAGCAAACTTGTTTCCTACTACAACGAGAAGAAAAAGTTGGTGTTGCTGCTTACCACCTGCCACGACAAGGATGATGTTGTCGCAGTGGAGACCACCGTCTTTTGTGGGGGGCAAGCAACAAGTTGTCCACAAGCCCCAGCCCATCATTGATTACAACCACAAGATGGGTGGTGTTGATACCGCCGATCAGATGGTCAGGTATTACAGCTGCAGACGCAAGACCTACAGATGGAACATTCGGGTCTTGTACGACATGATCGATACTGCAGCTTTCAATGGGTACAAGACCTACTCAGCATTCAATAAAGGTGATCGTATTGAATACCTGAATAAGCTTTCAGGGGCTTTGATGGCTTATAATTGATTTTATCTTCGTGGTTTGGTTGTTTTTATGTTTTATTGAATCTGAACTGTTTGTTTCATTCAAACTGAGCTGTTTGAACGAACACCAATATTTTTAGCAACAAAAAACTAAATTGGGGGTTATTATACCATTTTTATTGTAAAATAAACTTTTTACCTTATTATAAACATGATAAAATTTTTGTTAACAGTGCGTTCAATTTCAACAAGTGAGTACATGGGGTTTGTTAACCCGAGTATTCTTCTTTCAACAAGCTGTTTGAATGGGCTTGTTTTCAAAATGATGATTTTAATATTTTAACTTTATTTTATTATAAGCTGTTCTACCTAATTATAATTTAACCATTTTATTGTAGTAAATTATAGTTTGTTTTTTCATATACTTTTTATTGCAGTTTTTTTAACTACTTGTCTAAGCAAACAAAAAATAAATACTGGACAAAAAAATGACTAAAATCGGTAAAAATATGAGTCATCAACGTAAAGTGGTAGTCTGCACACTTTTTCTAGCGTGTGTAATGGTTTCCATACTTGAGTCGAGTCGAAGTAACCGTTTCCAAGCCTAGGAAAACCGTTTGAGATGAAGTTATCTCTTTTTTGTTGCATTTCCACCATTCACAGTCAAGATAGAGGCTTGGACAGCAGCACAATAAGCAATAGCTTCGTCTAGTTTATGCTCTTGTTTGGCTTTTTTCCCATTTAAGTACTTACAGCATCTGACGACATTTGGTATCCTCAATGATAAACCAATCAGCACAACATCGTCAATGCTTCCCTTGTCCAGTTTTGGCGTCTTTCAACACCTTCTCGACAAGCTGAATTGTCGACTTAAAGAGGTCGATGTTCAACTCTTCAAAATTTGTGATGCACCCGTTTGTTGAGGACATTTTTGTGGAAAATTAAGTTTGATTGAACTCTTTCTAAAAATATAAAAACTGTTACAAACTATCGTTTACTATAATTTTCATTTTTCTATTAACAAATAAACTATTATAGTAAATTACTATGTGCTGTGGTTCTTATTATTTCTACTTGGAGTTTTTGGAAAGAAGTTTGGTCTTTTGTATTTTTGTGTTTACTTTAAAAATACCTTTATTTTTTAACATGTTTCTTGTATGCTGCTCAAAAATGCATCCCAACGAAACAGACGCGTATGTCATGCAATCTAACTTATTTGTACCAAATAGATATATA